CAGGTGCATACCACCACGCCTGGCTAAATTTTGTATTTTTAGTAGATTCGGGGTTTCACCATGTTAGTCGGGCTGGTCTTGAACTCCCGACCTCAGGTGATCCACCTGCCTTGGCCTCCCAAAGTTCTGGGATTACAGACGTGAGCCACTGCACCCGACCCTTTTTTTAAAAAATAGAGAAATACGTTATTTTAGGACTCCATTCCTTCCCATTGCATTGACCATTCCTTTTAAAAATTAGAAATGGGCCTACATTGACTACACTTGAGACAATTGCAGTCGACGAGGAGAAGGGAGCAAGGGAATCAGCATGGGCCTTTGTTGGAGTGGTATGAGGACGCATCCCTGCCGAGAGCCCACTGTGTGCTGGGTGCCAGGGCCAGGACTAGGGCCTTACGGACTCTGCACTTGATCTGCCAGCTGCCTGACTCTAGAGCAGGGATGAGGCACCTGAACACAGCGGGTCGGAAACTCCTAGAACTTAAGTTTAACTTCCCTGAGGAAATACGGTGATGGGGTGATGGACAAGGAAAGACACTCAAGGCTGCCTGGGTCCCAGATTCGTTTTTCCTGGTACAGTGTCTTGTTTGAAAGGAGGGAGGCAGAATTCTTAGATGATTTTCTGATTTAAATTTAAAATGGACCTAATTTGGAGACCTACTGTGTGATAATGAAGACTGGTGCTGTCACATGGTCTGGCCTCATCACAAAAATAATTGTTAGTTGCTGATACTCTGTTCCCTTAGTAAGGGAGACTCATGTTTTATGTAAAGCAGATGCTGAGTGAATTCACATTTCTCAGCTGTTATGCCACTTTCTAAGTCTTGAAGATACACACTTGCGGTCTTGAGTTCAGGCATAGAAGAAAGCATAGACCATTTTCTGTTCCTCCTTATGGCTTTATTTATGTTAACGTTTATTAGAAAAAAGAAAGGTACTACTCTATAAATGTCTGAGGAGGCTTTTTCATAGACCTGTGGATTTTCTTGATTTGTAGAGATCTTAGGTGTTAATCACATCAGATACTCAGAAGACCCTTCCATCCCCAACGTTTTGCTAACACATTCCCAATGCAGCATACTTATGCTCTTGAAAAGAGGGAAAGCCAGGACAGTGCGTTTGACATTTTCCCTCATCATTTGGTTTCTGTCAGCGAGAAATATGCTTTAGTAATTTGGAAATAAACTCACTGCAGGGGGTGAATAACAGGTTTGAAGGTTGATTAGTTGCTAAGGAGATGATCTTTGTGTGCTTATGTGGAAAGTATGAGAGGATCACTTAATACTATATCCTCTGAAGTTCTGCTCTTTCTCCTTGGGTTCAAGAAAACCATCATTTGGTTTCAGGTTGTGTTGACAGTCACAGTTTCAACTGTAGGAACTATCATTAATTTAGGGAAACAAGGTTCCAGGGGTTGTGCTTGACCTCTGACCATGTGCCACACAATGTTCTTTGTGCTCCATTTGTTGTACACAGCAGCCGTATGAAGTGGGTACCACTGATCTCACTTACACAGATAGGAGTCTGAGGCACACCAAGCAGAGTCTTGCCCAGGTGCAGTTACTCAGTGTCATAGTTGTAATACAGTGTCATTTTCACAGAATTGCTTGGTCCAAGTTGTAACTTGAGTTCCTGCACACACTCTCCTCCTCAGATGTGAAGTTTTAAAGTTCACAACTCTTTAAATCATGAGAATACAAGGGAGACAGGCTGTTGGAAAATACAGGGATGTTCTTTCTGTTTTACATCTGTTGCAGAAGGACTATTTCTCACAAAGTCCTTAAGTAGATCGTGCTCAGCATATCTGGATGCTCTTTGCTACTGGCCTGAGAAATGACCAGCAGGGCATTGCAAAGAGTGAGTAGAGAGTAACAAGACTGACAGTAATTCAACCCAGTACTCCTCATCTGGGTGAAAGGAGAATGATACCAAGTATGACTGATATCTAGTGATACAAATGGGTTACAGAATTTTAGATTCTAGGTGAGGCATTATAATACACCTGTAAGAAACCTGTCTCCCTCCTATCCCCCAATTTCTTTATACACTTAAAAAAAAAAAATCCCAGAATTGTAAAGAAGTATGTAAAGAAATTGGTGGGAGGAGGGAAAGAATTTTAAAAAGTGAATTTGTTTGATAGTTTCCTCATGTTATGCTTTAGCTTGTTTCTTTCTTGCAGTCCCCACATTGGGACTGCAGGAGAGCTTCAAAGAAGACTTTCAGTATAATTCTTGTGAAATAAAGTAATGGGTATTGGGAATACACAGGGAAAAATTACAGTTTTCCATTTTTGACGATAAAATGTCTAGAGGGTTTTTTGGGGGTCATTTTTTTTTTTTTTTCCTGTAGCAAGTTAAGAAGGAAAGGATGGCCAGTGTGATTTGTAGGAAAAAAAAGTTTCTTCTAGATAGTGTTATGTAAATTAAACCTGTGAAGGAAATAAGTAATTGATGCTTTATCAAAAACTCATTTGTTCAAGGAATTGTCTTGCTTAAGTGTGGTTCATTATAAACTATATTATTATATTGGAGAGCACAGGACTATTTTGTCATCACTGTTGGTTAGTAAGACATAAGTATAGATGAAATACGATTTGTTGGAAACTTCAGCCATTTTGTTCTAATGATTGTGCAAAAACATTGGTGCTCATTGATCTTTTTTTTCTGTTTTTCAGGGTCGACATGTTAAAACGGGTCAGTTGGCAGCCATCAAAGTTATGGATGTCACTGAGGTAAGATTGAGTCACACCCTTTTTAAATAAATTGTTAGATGGAAGACAAAGATTCCCCCAACAACATAGAGCATTACTCTGTTTGGAAAATCTGATCACTTGAGCACATTGCTCTCCTGTGACATTGTGGGTTCATAGGTCCAGTGGATTAGTTGGCCTAAATTGTAGTACACAGTCTCCAAGTAACTAAAAGGCAGTAGCATTTTCTCAAAACACACGCAGTGCACACACACATCTGAGTGATGTCATCCTTGGCAATGTAATGGGCCATAATTGGAAACATCTTCTCTAATGGAAAAGGAAAAATTTGAAAAGGGATCATGGAGGTCACATGAATAGGGAGATTGAGGGTTTCGAGTGGAGGAAAGCTTCTCTAGGGTATTAGGCCACATTTGTGCCATTTCTTTTATTTTTAACATGGGGGAGGAAAACAGACCCAGCCAAGTTCCCAGAGGTTGGAAAACAGAAACATCTGCTAGAATGCTGAGCAGATTGTTGGCAAAATTTAGTAGCAAAAAATAGTTCTTGAAATGGTCGCATGAGGATTTACTGTGCAGCTTTAGATGGGAAAGAGGAGAACGTGACCGAGACAACAAGTAAGTGTACGTGTGCCCATATGTGTGCTTGTAATATAAGCATGAGCCCATATTTAAATTCTTTAAAAATAGTAATAGATTATAATGAACTAAATCCATTTCATTTTAAAGTATTTTTATCTGAAATTTTGCTTCATGCTCATGTTTACCTCTAACTTGCCTAATTATGAGTAGGATTCAACATCATATTTCACAGATTCTAGAAAGAGTTCACCAGTAGCATTGGAGATTTGGGATAACTTTAAATCCAGCCGTACTTTCCCCAAGTCTGGGGTCAGTCGAGGGAGATAATGGCTAACCAATCTGCAGTGTGCTATCTAGAGAGTGAAATCTCCTTCTTTGCCTTGCTCTCTGCTTGGTCTCTGACAACATGGTCATCTTCAGAATGGGTATTTGTCAGTAAGAATTGGAAAACACTGTTGTCCCTGGACCACAAGACAACTGATAGAGCCTTTCATAAATATTTGAAGATGTGACATTTTATGAGGTGACCACTCTCTTTTCTCTGTTAAAGAGAATAATGGATACTTTAAAATGAAAATGTACCATTGCTTAGTTGAATGGCCAAAAGATTCTCCTTGACATACTCTGATGTAGACTATTCTGTTGTATTACAGTGATCCTATCTTGGTGTACAGCTCAATGGGAAATTGGATGCTTTCCAGTTAAATATTTTTTAAAGATGTTTTTAAAGAGTGGCGAAGGAACCGTAACTTCTTGCTTATTTTATTTTGAATACAGTAGTTGAGCTATTTATGAAGGACCCTCTCTGTGAATGGAATGACCAATACCACCTTCCTACCAAAGTCTCCATTCAGAATGCTGTGCATCTTGCCAGTGCTGTGTTGGGAGTGGTGTTGCTGGAAAATACGGTCTTTCCATTATTTATTAACACACTTTTTGACTTGTTTACTGGCAGACTTGTAGGTACAATTTTAAATGTAATCTTTTGGAATTTTATGAACTGAGAGTTCACCCTTGCAGTGTCATGCAACCTGTGCTGCTTCCCCTGACACTGCTGTTGTGGCTGGTCAGGATATGTCCTCTTTCACATCTCCAATGGAATCTACATGGGGTTTGCTTTCTCTGTAGGGATCTTCTTCACCTAATCCTGGCTGTGATTATAAGTGTGCAATACATGATCGCTGTAAAAAAAAAAGTATAAAGTATAGGAAAATATAAAGAAAAAGTTAAATCCTTATACTTCTGCCACATTATTATTATTATTATTATTATTTTTTTTTTTTTTTTGAAATGGAGTCTCCCTCTGTCACCCAGGCTGGAGTGCAGTGGTACGATCTCTGCTCCTTGCAACCTCTACCTCCTGGGTTCAAGCAGTTCTCCTGCCTCGGCCTCTATAGTAGCTGGGATTACAGACTCCCACCACCATGTCCAGCTAATTTTTGTATTTTAGTAAGATGGGGTTTCACCATGTTGGCCAGGCTGGTCTTGAACTCCTGACCTCAAGCAATCTACTGGCCTCGGCCTCCCAAAGTGCAGGGATTACAGGTGTGAGCCAGCGCCCCTGGCCCTCTGCTACCTTATAATAGCTCTTGTTAGTGCTTTGGTGTATTTCCTTTCAATCATGTCTCTGTGAACATAACTATAAAATACATACTCATATGTAATGGATGCTTTTGTATCCCACTTGTTGAGTGGGATACAACAGGTATTTTCTTGCCTGAAAAATGAGGCAATGTTGGACACATGCATAATGTAAGTATTTTTGGGACTCCTTTAAAAGTAATTATTGCAAAACCCATGTATTCAGGTAAAATGAAAACCAGATGGCGAGTCCTGAAATAAGTATTATAGAAACCTAATCAACCATTTACCATATTGTCCACTCAGTAATGTTTCTTGTGTGCTGTTTTCATGCAGTGACCTTTTCTATAGCATGGAGCACAGTCATTGCCCATATAAGTGTTGTTTATGGATAGAGGGCCATGTATAGCAGTCAGCCTGGAAAACATGCCCTTGCCAAGCCTGCATGTCAAAGCTCCTCTTGTGTAGTTGTAGGCACTGGCCTGGCTGGGACCTGGGAGCAAGTGGGGAGCAGGCTGAGTGAGAGAGATTTTGCAGCATGTGCTTCTGGTTCCAGCTCCAGCAGGAGGGGCTGTTGGAGCGGGTTCTCTTGATGAGAACAGGACTCTTCATGGTTTTTTACCTCCACTTAGTTTCATCTCAGGAGCAAAAAAGTGCAAATACTTGTTTTTGGGAAAAATCACAGATTTGTTCTGACTCTTTAGGTGAAAGTGAGAGGCAGTTACCAGGCTACTAGTTACTCCTCAGGCCCAGAAGGCAAGAATTGCAGCAGGTGTGGGAAGCTGAATGGTGTGGCCGCGTTTCTCCTGAGCTGTCAGCTGTTGGCAGGCTGAATGAATCTAGCTCTGGAGCTGGCTGCAGACAGTGCAAAGATGGGGGCCCACTTCACTGGCTTTACTTGATTGTGTGAATCTGGAAAACAAGACCAGCTGAGAATTCAGATTTCATCCTGGGGTGAGGTGACAAGGGACTATGGAGGAAACCAAGGGGCCTGGAAGTGGGGAGGCATTTATTTGCAAGAGATGTCAAGTTCTTTTCAAATTTGGTGTGTGAGTACTTTAGCTGTATTAAGAATTGACTATCCTTAGGATTTTGAAAGGCTCTTTTTAAGGAAAGCATGTCTTTTATCTGATTGGTTTTGGGAAGGGCTTAAGGAACAGATTAAGGATGTGCTCAAAGTGGATGATATTAGGACAGCAGATCTGTAATGTGTTTTTTTGTTGTTTGTTTGTTTGTTTTAAATAATGATAGATTCAGAGGATTTGCAGAAAATTGTATAGGAAGGTCTCATGTACCCTTCATTCAGTTTTCCCGTGATGAAATCTTACATAACTGTAATACAGTATTATAGCTTAAGTACACATACAAAATAAAGCATGGTAAATGATTGCTTTTACCAGTGATTCTCAACCTGGAGTTCATAAACTCTTTGAGTGAGGTTTGTCTCTGAGAACAGAATTTTATTTTGCATTTTAATAGTGTCCCCCAACTTTTTATTATGAAAAAGTTCATATATCCAGAACTGTTGAAAGAATGAACACTCTCAACTCTTCACTTATATTCAACATTTGTTAACATTTTGTTCATGTGTGTGTGTATTGTTTTTGAAAATAATTACAGCTATCACCGTGATGCTTCACCTGAAATTACTTGAGCATGCTTGTCTTAAAGACAGTCTTCTGCATATCATAAAATTGCATCTAATGTTCAGTCTATATTCATATATCTTTGATTGTGCCAAGAATGTTTTTATAACTCTTTTTGAATCATAGTCCAGGTTTATGCACTATACTTAGTTATCTTATCGCTTAACTTATTTTTAGGCTAGTAAGTTTCTCTTTGCCTTCCTGCCTCCATTTTTATTTTTTTAATAAAAGAAAATTGACTTTTGTAAGAATTCAACCAAACTGTTTTGAAAAATATCTTGTATTCTGGATTTGATAGTTTCCTTATGTTACGCTTTAACTTGTTCCTTTCTCTCCTGTATTTCCTGTAAACTGGAATTATGGTGAGAGGTTTGATTAGACGCAGATTAAATATTTTTTGGCAAGAACACCTCAGTGGTGGTATTGGGTACTTCATATTGCCTCAGGTCAGGGGGTACGTTGTTCTAGGTGAAGCCTGCTTCACTCATAGCCTTCCCATTATTAGTGAAGCCAAGTTGGGTCACTGGATTAAAGAGGTGACTGCCAGCGTTCTCCACCACAAGGGTGCATTATTAGTTTTGCATTCCCCAAATAATCTATCTCCAGGGTGATACTTTGGCACTGTGTGAATATTCTGTTCATGAGTAACCTTTCAGCAATGGCTTTGGCATTCATTTAATGATTCTTGCTTAGGTTAGTTATTATTGCAAAATGATGATTTTACGTTCTTCCTTCTGTATTTATTAGTCAACAACAGTCTATAGAAGAGTTTCCTAACTACCCCTGCCCTTCTCTCTCTGTCTGGATATTGCTGTGGACATGAGTGGTTTTGTTTAATGTGTTTCCATCAATTACAGCTGTTATTATGTAATCAAGTTGTACCATATTTGGCAGTGAGAGCCTTTGACATGACCCCAGTGGGTCCCCAGTGGAGTCTGTAGCCTTTCGACATGCCCCTATTAGTTTTTGAGTACCTCTTTGTTTTTCTGGGACAAGTAGATATTTGAAACTCACCTACCAAGACATGGAATCCTCTCCTCTGAGGAGCCTTAGTTCAGTTGAGTGAGGAATGTATTTAGAGACTAATATCTGGATGCTAAGTATACTCATTGCTACTGAGGTATTACTGCTTCTAGGCCCTTTGAGTAGACAGAGCTAAGAAATGCATTTTTCTTTTTCAAAAACCAGAGTTTTTTTCTTAATTTCTTCTATC